TCGTCATCTTCGGACGACTCACATCCTCCATAAGCTGTCTCTTATACACATCTAGATGTGTATAAGAGACAGCAGCTGGACTGTCCGCAGGAGGCATAGGAGCGGATGTATCCGTTTGGGACAACGGAACCGCAACAACCCGTGGAGGCGGCACAGAGAGAATTGGGGCAGACAAAGAAGCAGGCCGCTGATCCCTGGCCAAGTGGCGATGTTGTGCATGTCCTCGTCGATGATACACAATAAGAGGAGTGGCGATGTTTCTAACAGAAGATGTCATATATATTTATATATAACTCCAAAAGACCATTTGCACCACTTCCACTCCACTTATGTCACGTCACACAGTACAAAGCACCGAACTCCAAAGCACCGAACTCCGGACGACTCGTACCTGAAGAATTTCCCTGATGAGGATTCGCTTTACAATACGAGATGATCAAGTCTTGGTCGCTGGTGATATATATGTTGTTCGTGTTGCAGTCCGGATACCAGAGAAGATGGTCCTCAAAGCTGTCACAGCAGGAGCAATGGGAGGGAGAAAATAGACGTGAGTAAAAGTTCATGCCAAGCTTTCCATCTGAGCTTGTTTAGCAGTTTGAAAATATCATTCCTGAGCCCGGTCCCTTCGGATACCCACTGACACATAATCCGGTCAGTCAGTATCACATGACAGCTGATGGCAAACACTGACCACCAACCAATCAGTATCACATGACAGCTGAGCCCAAACAGTCAGCAGTTCGTCAACTGGTCAGATTTCACCCTCAGAGGGCCGGTTTTCAACATTCACGAACAGAGCAACTGGCTGGAAATGACCAAAACCAACCACACTTCCAACTCTGCTCATATCCAGAGGTGCCAGGGAACTGGAAAGGTTTTGTCCAGGCAGGGGCATATAGGATATTGTGTTTATAAGATCAGGGTTAGTAAGAAACACTCCAAGGTGGAATGCTGTGCGTGGAACATGCCATGCGTCCACAACAAGGCAGAGGAGGAGGAGGAGGAGGAGGAGGGGGAGAAGGACGAGGAGGAGTAGGAGGAAGAAGAATGGGAAGACCAAGAACAAGAAGACCAAATAGAGCAACAGGAAGAGGAACAAGAACAAGAACAAGAAGAACAAAGAAAGCAGAACAGAGAAAGAAGAAAGAAGAAAGAAGAAAGAAGAAAGACGAACAGGAACAAGAACACAGACAAGAGAAGGTGCACCGCCTACCCTGAATTCAACAAATGGAGGGATCAAAACCACGACACAATGAAATCAGACTCCCTTTCTTCTCACTTCGCATGCATGCAAACCGATGGCAAAACACACTGGCACCATGTGCCTACACAAAACTCAGAGATATAAAGACCAAGAACACAGTTCAGATACAAACTCCCTTCAGACTGGCTATGGCGACTGAGCGCCTACACTTCTCATGTCCGACACTGTGTCCACAACCCCCGTTCGCACACACTCAACTCTGGATCACCCTGAATATCCCACATGCGTTCACTCTGTATCACACACACTACCACCTAACACTAGCTATGGCAGCTATGGCCGCCAGCAACTACTAACTATGGCACTCGATCTTTTTCACGGCCCACTCAGACCTCGGGCATCTGCAGACCACCTCTCACAAGACGCTCGGGCAGCGCTTCCGCACGACTTACAGCAGAATGAATGAATGCCTCTGCCTCTTGATTTATACTTCTGTTGGTCACTGGTCTGCCCCTTTTCCACCGGGCCCTTGGTGCACACAGTCCCACATGGTACTTGCTGATTGGACTAAGTGAGACTGGGACTGGGTACCGCTGACTAAGCAAGGGTGGACTCACCACTTGCCCACTTGCCTCTAGTCTGCTGTGAGCAACATTCGAAAGGCCACTCAAAACTGTAGCAGCTACGACCTCGACCCTTCAGGAATGTAGCAGCTACGTCCTTGACCTTTCAGAGTTGCTATAGCTACGACCTCTACACAACTTTGACCACTACTCGACAGACCTACGGTTCAAGACCCAACAACTACACCGACCTACGACAGACAACAACTGACTCCTAAAACGCAGGTCACAGGTTCAAACACACAGGGATACTATACACGGGTGAGGTGAGGCCTAGGGATCGAGCCCTGGGATCTGCATCTGCTTCTGCAAAGGTGAAAAACGTTTCACTCCCGCCGGCCTAAATTCAAGGTCCTCCGAGAATACTTGTCCAAGGCGGGACCTTGACCTTTCCTATCTCTCTCATAGGCGCAAACTATGTCGGGAGCGGTCTCTAGAAGCTCGGTTCGTGTGAACCAGCAGTCGTCTTCCTGTTCCTGAAAAGAGAATCTAACTTTGTACTGTTTCTGTGGACGACCTCTACCTCCTATTCTGAACACATCCTCATCAACTATACGATCAATGTCGTACCTTCCGTCCATATCTGGAGGAATCATTGACCTTCTCGACGGAAACTGCTGACTTGTCATGCAAGGTAATAACTTCGATGCATGAAAATTTAGATATGCATGGAGGTGTGCTGGGATCTCAATTGTGTAGGACAGTCGATCCTCTCCGCCCTTGACTTCTAGGACTGACCACGGTCCTCTATATGCAGGCAATAGCTTCTGCGAGATGTTCTCCTCAGGAGCAAACTCTTTTGACTTGACCCAGGCGACAAGGTCGCCTACTTGAAACTGTGACGGGCGACGGTGCTTGTTGGCTTGTTCTACCATCTTGTGCGGGGCCTTCCTGAGGTTTTCTGTTACGGTCGCAATCTCTCTCTCATGCTATACTGCAAACTCCCTACTACGGGGCGGTAGCCTCTGAATCTGATCCCGGTTTAGTCCTTCAAACTGTCTGCGTGGTCTAAAGGACTTACGCAACTCCTTGGGAGTGCGACAGGTCGCTAAGTGCACGCTATTGTTGTATGCGCTGGCTACCTTGGGAAGCATCTCATCCCAGTTAACTTGCTCGGGTCTAATATACATTCTGAGAACTTGCTGCAGGATTTTGTTCATCTGATCAGTCTGACCATTAGTCTCAGGATGACGGCCAGATGACATCAACAACTTAGAGCCATAGACTCTCATCAGTTCCTGCCGGTTCTGACTAGTGAACCTGGTATCTTTGTCACTAACTATCGACAGCGGTAGACCATGCTCACTGACCCAATGATCAAAGAACTTATCTACAACTAAGTCTGTACGTGCCTCCGCGGGCAAAGGAACAAAAACTGCCTACTTACTAAATCTATAAACTATAACCATGACTTGGCTCTTGCCATGCCTACTCCTGACCGCAGCATCCATGAAGTCAATGGAGACAGAATCTCCGGGTCCTGTGGGAATAGGCAAGGGTCTGAGAAGACCAAGAGGGGCTCACGTAGTGGTCTTATTTTGCTGGCATACCTTACGACTCCGTACATACTCTATGCAGTCAGCTTTCATACCTGACCACGTATAAGCACGAATAAGGTTGGCTAACGTCTTCTGACACAGCCAAAATGTCCCTCTGTCGTGACATTCCCCTAAGATAAAGACTACGGATCTCTTCGCTGTTGGGAACACATAAACGGTCAGCTACGTTAGTCTTCTCGAATAGTAACCCTTCTGTAGTGCAGTAATCCAGCTCAGACTCTGGAGACTCTTTAACTCTCTTGAGGAGATCACTATAAGTAGGGTCCTGCGCATACGCTTCCTTGACTTTCTGTTGCAGGTCTCTCCCTATATCCAGATAGTGAACTATCGCTCCAAAGTAATCAGCTCTCCTACTTAGAGCATCCGCAACCACATTGTAGTTTCCTTGACTGGCTTGAGCTAAAAGTCAAACTGGTCTATCTATGCGGCCCACCTAGTAAGCTTAGGTGTCATCTTGGCCTGCATCTTTAACCACCTCAGCGTCTCGCGGTCTGAATACACTTTGAAGTGCCTCCCAAGCAAGTAGTGTTTCCAGTGATCTAGTGCTTGCCTGAGAGCGTAGAGTTCCCTCTCATAGGTTGATGCCGCTACCTTCTCTGAAGGCATCCTAGCAGACATGGACTCTACAGGTCTATACCCATTGCCATCATCTTGTTGTAAAACAGCACCTATACCGTTCTGACTTGCATCAGTGGTGACAACAAAAGGTAAGACGCGCCCTCCTAGCAAAGAAAAGTCGAAACATCAGCGGCCATCCAGCAACAACAGCTTTTCGCCCCTGTTCTCCAACCTTTTCACCCTTTTTTTCGCTCTTCGCCTCCTTTTGAGAATCCTTTTCCCCAGCAGCACATAAAACATCCCCTCCTACCTAGATTGCACACGTTTTCTTTTTTTTTCTGGTTTGCTTTGATATCCTACCACAGCCGAACAGTAACTTTTTTATTGCACAAGTTTTCTTTTCTTTCCAGTTTGCTTTGATATCCTACCACAGCCGAACAGTATCTTTATTTAACATCAGAAGATGAAATTTCTTTGTGACTCTTAAGTATTTTCCAACTGACGACAGACAGGACACCAGATTACACGCATCTCATAATTTGCAACGAGCACCTCCCACCAACACCCATCCACAATGAAATACCCACATTTCAGCCCAGGTAGCATGCCGAACTCATCGAAGTCTGTTGGCTAGATGACAATATACATAGGTCTTCCTCAAATGCCTTGAGAATAGGTTGCAGTCACTCCCAGGCCGCACAATCCCAGTATCCCATGCAATGATATATCAGCCCACCAGCACAAACCCCTGATACACTGGTATTTCTTTGTGAGGGTACCTTGTGACAAGTTCCCCTCTGAAGTTCCAGACTGCCACCGTCCGGTTCCGGAACGTGAGGAAGAGCTGATTCTCATACAGGAATATAAATGCTGACGGGGTCATGAACTCTGTCTTGCTCACTTCTGTCAACTGCGAATTCCTCACCTGCATCAGAACCACATTTCCAACACAGTCAGGCATCCTCCACATAAGCCCACCCCTAACAGACTGCACCACACGTCATAACCTTCAAACTGAGCAACAAACAGCTCCAATTACCTGCTGACAAACTGGGGACTCAGAGCGAGATGACTCCTGTTTCCAGGTGACAGTGGTTGACACCTGTCCACAGGTTAGGCCCGACTATTAATCTTCCTAGGGCCCACTTTGACTTCTGGAGGCCCTGGACACCTCAGTTTGACTTTTGACCCCAGGCCTACCAACCAAAGGACTTTCTAAGGACTTTTCCGAGACTTTACGACCAACTGTTAACACCTAAACTTTGGCTAGGTCGCAAGCAACGACTCTTGCTTTCGCGCACCACTGGACCCTTGACGATCTGCAACGCTGGGCCTGCCCCATCCTTTGACTCTGTACGGGTTCTTTCCCGAGACTGCATCCCAAAGGCCATTGACTGAGACACAGACTAGACCATGTTCTGCTGGGCTTGGAGATTTTGACTGACTCTAGGACACCTCAGACCAGTTTCTTGAGTTCAGCCTTCACTCAGACTTCAGGGGTATGTCTCTGAGAGGCAGGGTCGGCGCATCCTGCCTAACAAAGACACAAATTGCCAGCCATGCGTGTTCATGTGCAGGTCTGTGTGTGCAGTGGGCAGGAGAAGGTGAAACGTACAAAGGGTTTCTTGGAGGATCAAGACACATTCCCTGTTTTTTTTTTGCTATTTATTTTGTACATGTCGCTTCCGTTTCTTTTTTTTCTTCCTTTCGGTAGCTGAAAGTTACTTCGCCGCGGCCACCTTCAACGTTTTGCACGCTTGAATGGCTTTCCCTTTCTACAATATCTTACTGAACCACAGACGTTCTCATCTGAGAGAGAGAGAAAAAGAGATAGATAGATAGATCGAGAGAGACAGACAGAGAGACAGAGAGAGAACACGGCCTCACACCAGTGTAATGACTGCAATTGCACATTACCCATTGCTGATGACAATCAGCATGTATTTCTATGGCTGCACATTTGTTGGGACAGTTTTGCCCACTTTGTGATCACCACAGTTCAGGAACACCGTGGGGAGAATAGGAAAAGGTCATCCACTGTGTTTCATCATACAGATTACATCTACCCACCTTGCATTTGTTCTGTGAGTTTGCGACACAATGAGAGCCATGCATTTGGAAGGGAGAGTACAAGACTTACATCAAGAATTTGCAGATTGGAGTTCTCTTGTTTCACTAGAAGCTTCTCATTGAACTGTTCAATGAAGTCAACCTTCTTGTTTCGATGCAGCAAATGGTTGAAGGCCTTCAGTACTTGCCCATCTTCTATGGACAAGATCTTCAGAGGCACATGACTCTGCGCCCTGTCAAAGATGAGCAGCATGATTCCAGGACTGCAAAGTGATACACCAGCACATCAACACCCCACCACAACAAAAAAAAAGCAACACCATTTTAGCAAGCCCAAAATATTCCTCTCTCTCTCTCTCTCTCTCTCTCTCTCTCTCTCTCTCTCTCTCTCTCTCTCTCTCTCTCT